GAAGAGAGCGCACCCAGGCTCTGGAAAACACACGTCAGACCCCAAAGAGCAACAAAGAAGTCAGGCCCACAAAACTACTCCTTGAGCATCCTCTCCGTTTACACGGCTTACTCACAACTCCAGAGCTCTGTTATCGATGAAGAGCTAGCGAGAGGTGTTTGTGCCATGCTGCTCAGCACACAGCATCTCTGTGGTTGCCCAGAAAGCGGTCAGTGAATGGCACTGTGGAGAGGTTCAGAGCAGGGAGTCAATGAGAAAGGTCCAGCAGGTGGTAGCCTCTGCCTGGCACTGCTGCCAGGGACCCGGGACTCAGCTTCAGCCCTGCGTCCCGCAGCACGTGGCCGCATGGGTGGCTCCTCCACCGCCGGGCCTGCTAAGGGAATGGCACATGATTTGGAAATGAAGCAAAATATTTAGTGTTTATGAAACAGCTCCTAAGAGTTTTAAAAAGGGACTAGTGGTGTTTGCACACAAGCTGGCCAGGCTCTAACACAGTGCACGCTCTGTTGTGTCAACTCCCACACCTGCTTAAGATGTTTTTTAAAATCCCCATGAGATGAGGGAGCCAAACAACTGAGTCTAATCAGCCCTGTCTCGGTGCTCTCACTAGAGCCACACTGAAAATTTTTGCTAATGGAGTTGCGGGATGCTATGGAAAACCTTCTCTCCAAAGAGTCTCTGTTCACATCTGAAGCTAAGGCTGGTGAAAAGCAGGGGGTGGGGCTGGGAGGGGGCTGCTGTGGGGGCAGCCTGGGTGCAGAGCCCTGCTCCTGGGGCTGATCCAGTGCTCCCTGGGAAGAGGGCAGACCTCCAAGGGTGTCCAAGCCTTGTAGCCCTGCAGCCCTCTGCCTGCTCAGTGCAGGAAGGGGAGAGCAGCAGCTCATCTAGCGCTGCCTCGATCCCCTCCCAAGCAAAGAGAAAACTAGGTCAAAAAAGAATAAGGCTGAAGCACATTTTCTTGTGCTTTCCCCAACTACCAGAATTGCCAAATGTACTTTTCACTGTGTGTTTTTGTTTTCTATGCCAGAAAGTTTCTGGACCCCTTCTTAGCAACGTGGGTCCCCCTCTCTCTTGTATCACTTGCAGAAGGTCCTGCCTGGACCGTGTTTGCTTTTAGGGTGACACCAGGATTCAGTCCATAAAAGGTTATTGACCTGGGAAGAGAGATTTTCTAGAATTTAAGGGCTGGGCAACTTCTTGGAAATTGCCTTATCAGCATGGCTACAAGCTGGAGCTTTAACAACCCTTCCTGAGCTGCACGTCTCGTGTTCCTATTCCTGCAGTTTGGTATTCGTCTCTGGACACGTATGCTTACTTTGCAATTTGTTATTTAAAACAGATTTGGTCCAAGATTGCCACGAAAACATGAAGCCAAGCTCAATTGCTTTGCTGTTACTGAAGTTAGGTGTCAGCATAGTCCCAGAGCAAAGCAGCAAAAGGGAGCAGACATCTGTGCACAGACTGTGTAAAGGCTGGTGCCACGAATCTTGCAGGTCATCCTTCTTCGCTGGTGGAGAAGGGTATTGCTGGGGGGGTGCTGAGGGTTGTTATCAGCAGAAGCATAAGGTGGTAAAACAGGAACAGAGAGGCACTGACTTTGCATAGCAAGGAGCGTCACCAGGCCACAGGCTGGTCTTTAAGACCAGTGGAGGAGGACTGAGAGGAAATGGATGAGTGCAGCACTCCGGAGATTTAAAACAAAACCTGATGATATAGTAACATCTGCTGGAGGTGTGAGCCCACGCTTACACAGGGACAGGCTCGCTCTGAAGTTTCACAGCATCAGGAGGGGTTGGTTCACCGTAAACCCCATGGGGATCTGCAGTGCCTCAAGCCTTCCCTGGCAGAGCAGATCTGGCAGTCCAGCCAGGGCTGCCACCCCTTGTCCTCCCCCAGCTCCTCCGCCAGTGCCTTGGCCCAGCCCAGGTTTTGGGGCGATGCTGCTAGCTGCTGCATGGCCAGGCAGTCTTCACCCCACCTGCAACTGGGGGGCTCGGGCAGGCATCTTTCCAGGAGAGCTGTAGAGAGCATGGGCTTTGCATCTGGGATCCAGTCCTTATCCCCAAGGGGCATGGCGCAGATCTGAGCGAGGATCGCAGGAGTTGGCCAGCAAAGCCCTTCGGTGCTGACGGCAAAAGCTAGTGTCTGCCTTGCAAACAAATGTCCACAGAGCCATGGACACGCAGTGCCAGTAACTTCACCTCCTGAATCACTGCCATGATAATCCTGTTTGCTCAGTCTTAGTGACTGAAGAGAGCCCTAACCAAGAAAAACAGCAGGATTATCCTCCAGCACCTGTTTGCACTGAAAGGATTATCATAGCTGGCTGCACCAGATGACGTCCTCTAGGTATCACCATGAAAGCAGCCTGAGCGACATGGCAACCCACCAGAAGAAGACCTCTCTCTGCTTCTGCATGCCCCTTTCCCAGATATTTCCAGCACAGCAGCTGGAAGCAGCTTGCAGATGGAGGCCAGTTCGTGCGGATACAAGTGTAGTGTTTGCATCTCTCCAGCACACAGACTTGTTCTCCGAATAGCATCATCTCCTGTTTGACTGTCTAACAGGGAGGCAGCGTGAAAAATTTGGGCTGTAAGCTGCGGAGCTCAGAAAGTAGACAGCAGCTTTAATGCACTTTAAAACAAGTTCTTTTCCCTGTTCATCATTCCTTATACTTTTGTTGTTCAAGTACAGTGATCCATTCACATTACAACATGTCATGGCTCTGTTGTGCTGCATTTGCATCCACAATACAATGGTAACTGATGTAAGAGCTATTTCACTTCAGGATGAATATGTTTGATTGCAGAAAAAGAGATCTTCCTTAGAGCTGTTTACATGGGAAAGCAGGAAAACCAAAAAGATCCAGAGAAATTTTGGAGGGACTCAGCTCATCAGTGAATGGTTAGCTCAGGCAACAGGAATGTAACCCTCCTGTCACTGGAGGACATCTGTTTAACCTCACCTTCCAGACATGAAATTTAGTCCACTGTGCTCTCTCGGCTTTTTTTTGGGCTCACCTTGAATGTTAAGGTTAGCTCAACTGCCATGAAGTTGCCACCAGGCTTTGCGGCAGTGCCCTGAGGGCTGGTTGTGCCACCGGTTTCAAAGCCTGAAAAGGAGCTTTAGGAAGTGAGGAGGGATGCTTTGGAGGGGAGGTGGCCACCATCTTCACACCTGTGGAAATGATTTAAGTGGGGGAGTTTGAGTGTAAAAGAAGTCCCATGTGCCAGGGGCCCCTCTGGTCCTGGAGTGTTGCACAAACGTGTGATTCCCTGAAGCAATGCTAACGTGCTGCTGTCATCACACTGCAGTGGTGTCACACAGGCCTGGGAACTCGGGCTGTGGCCAAGCACTTTTGCTCCCACTCTGCCAGCACCAGATCAAGTGTTCTGAGCCCCTTCAGGGCAGGGTACCTCTCAGCGGTGGTAACTTTTAGTCCACTGTGGAGCTGCAAGGAAGGCACAGTGTCCCTTAATGGTTCAGAGAGGTGCTGCGGCTGCCCCAAGGCCTCCATGGCATGAGGTAACTCCTTTCCCATCATTCTTCTCAAGAGCATCCTCCTGTCCCTTAAGCAGAGGCCTTGGTGAACGAATTACTGCAGTCACAGATGTTTTTTTCTATAATGGAATGTAACATTAAACTAAACACTGGAACACAGAGACAAACAATGCAAAAAAATCAGTGGAATAATCCTTAGCTTGTAATGATTTTTGCAAAACATTGTTGAAATTAGGTTTTATTGGAACAAAAATGTATTTATCATATCTGTCAACACTGGAAAATGATGTTTAAATTAAAACTTTATTTTAAACCCTGAAGATGTCCCAGAAGTGAGATGATATTTATAAATAGCTTATCAAACACCACAGTATAAAAAGTACATTTACCCTCTTGCTATTGAGTCAAATTCATTGTTATGTATGAGATGGGAATTAGTTTTACCCTTCTGACTATCAAAACAGAGAAAAAAATTAAAACCATAGGGAGAAGAGCAACAATACCCCACGGGTCAGAGTCTCATGTGAAAAGGACCATAGGAAAATTGTCCCCGTTGGAAAAGGCCACCCCAGTGACAAAGCTTGTCTAGATCTGGGCCAAGATTAGGCAGTAGCAAGCAGCAGAGACCTCTGACCCCTGCCGTTGTGCACAGGATTTCAACCTCTGATGTGCTTAAAAGATGTTCTCAAGCCCTGAGCCAGCCAGGTCCCCATTTAAACTCATTTACGCTGTGGATGGGTGGCTCTTTCCAAAGTCTTCACCCTGTTGTTTTTGGCCATGGCTTTGACAGGACAGCAGGACTGCAGACAACTTCTTGTGCCAGCTCAGCTTCAAAGCAAGAAATGTCCTGTGGTCCTGATACCATGTACTGCCAAGGCTCTTCTGACATGGCTGAATAACGTATTTTATAAATCGGGCATAAGACAGACTATACAGCTGTTTTACCCAGCCACGAACCTCCACGGGGCTGCTGACACTGGTGTCCTCCTCCCCAGTGCTTCCCATGTTCCCAGTGCTTCCTGGCATCTCTCGTGCTGTGCTCAGCTACCAAAGGGTAGAGCCCACCTGGGTTTTTAGGGGTGCTATCTGAGATATCAAGTAGCCCCACTGCAGTGGTGACGATGCCTCTGCCAGAGGAGACCAGTGGCTGCCAGGTGGTGAGGGCTGACACCCCCTCCTCCCCGAACCAACAGCTGTGATTTAAGGGTCCTCTTACAAAGCCTTCTTTTTACTGGAGAGGGGATCAGAAATATTCTCCGTGGCTATTTCAGTCTTTGAACCTCAGATAGAGGAGACTGCATTCCTTTATCCTGGCTCCATTAAAAGCCCATTAAAAAAGACAAATGTTTTCTTTCTTGGGGCCAAGCAGAGCCAGTGTGCTCTGCCCTGGTCGTGGCTGTGGCCATAGCCCAAATGGCTACGTATGTGGGGGATGGAGACAATGGGCTGCGATACAGCCGCACAAGTGCAGCCCGTCGGGATGCTGGCTGGCTGCAGGCCATGCAGCAGCCCGGGCCATGCCGTGCAGAGGCCATCACTGAAGCGGCAGGCAGCCAAGGATAATGCTGCGAAGCTGCCCGGAGAGGGGAGATGGGAAGCTGGTGGGCAGAGCCGAGGCCCGCGGGGCGAGAGGCTCCGAGCGGCAGCGGCCGGGAGCCGAATGGTGACATGGGGAGATAAGGCTCTTGATGGATGGACCTCAGAAGGTTTGAAGGTTTTTGTTCTGTTTGGATAAGCAGTCAAATATTCACACAGATAAGCTTCAAAAATGCATCTGATCTGAAGCCCTTTGTATCTTAAAATGCAGGGCTGGAAATAGAACAAGAGAATTCCTCTGGAGCTTTGCTGGCTCCTGGGCTTTCCTTCACCAGCACCAGACTATCCAGAGCTACCCATGCAAACAAACCAACAGTCAGGAGAGCTCTAACAGCCAGAGCCTCCCTGAACCTCAGGCATTCAACTGTGCCTAGGTACCAACTTATAGCTTGGGGGATAGGGGAGGTGGTCCTTCGCTTGGTCACTCTCTGTGCTTTGTCATCTTGGTCTACATAGCTGCTGCAGGTGGTTTAAAACATTGTTAAGGAAACGCCCTCGCTAACATTTGTGTATATCTTAACATATCCGTTGGCACAGAGTTCATATAACATTGCCTGGCACCTCCTCACCAGCAGAGTTATACCCACATTGAGCAGCTCATTGCGTGCAAAGTTCTGCAATGACCTGCTGATGAACGGTTGATGGTGGCAAGACCAGACAGCACCACAGATGACCTTGGCAGACTCCCACCCTCCTCGTGCACCATGCTCAGACCTAGATGAGGGCGGCAGGCAGCACCAAAGGCGGCCAGCAATCATCCTGCAACTTAAAATTGTAGTGCTTGAGTAGAGTGCTTTTGGAGAGTGCATCATTTCCTTGGAAATAAATTATGACGTTGTGCTCTACTCCAGCGAGTTTCCTTGTACCATGAGTTGTTTAAACAGTTTCTCATTATGTATTTCCCATTAGGACAAAAAAAAAAAAAACAGACCAGAAAGCCTGAGGCACCAAGGCTGGTAGAAAAAGGAAATCCTGCTCTGACCACCCGAGTGGGCAGAGAGCAGCTCCCCGGCTCTCGGTGGGTGCTGGTGGATCCAGTGAAGGTTTGGGGGAGGAAGGGGCAAGCAGGAGCAGCAGCAGTTTCTGGCTCTGCAGAAAGTCTTCAGATGACCCGAACACCTTTCAGGTTCACCTTTGAGCAAATACAACTCCCGATCAGTTATGCAGGGTTTCTCTCTGAGCATCCCCCTGCTTTGGAATGTCTTGGGGAGGACCCAGGTCCAAACCCAGAGGGCAGAGCCGCAGTGGGCTTTCAGCAAGCCGAGGGAGTCCACCCCATCCAGGGTCAACTCATTGCTTCCCCTTTCCCCTTGTACCTCCTCAGCCTTCCCAACTTGCTATTTATATCTTTGCCCTAATGAGTCCCCACCATCCACCCGCTAGCTTTAACCTCTTCCTTGCCAAGTGGTGTTTGGAGTTTACATGAGAAAGTTGTTTATGTTATATAGCTTTGTAATAGTTTCCTCCTACACCACCTCCCTTCCTTCCCCAATAAAAAGCCCTACAGCGCACTCAGAAAAGCCCGTAAACAAAGGAGGAGTTTGGGGACCCTTCCAGCTTTCAGTGAACCCAGTGGGGAAATGATGTCTCTCTTGAAGGATGTTAAAGCCTGAGCTCATAATAGGAAACTAGTGTGCACCCTAAGTAAGGCATTGCCTACTTGCAGCTACCTAGTATAAAATACAGATGTCCATACAGCAGGCCACAAGTCATCACTGGACATAGGGGATTAACACCGTGTGCCTTTCTCAATGGTCAGGATGGCGTTGATGGTGGTAAGCCGATGTGTTTTCTAAGCTCCAAATACTTGACATTGTGACAAGTGAGCAGGAAAAGGAGAGCACAAAAAGGCAGCAGTGTTTTGAACTCACCTAGATTGATGAACAGAAGCAGAAGGCAATGAAAATCCATTAGCCTGACTGTTCCCTGCAGAGGAAAAACAGGCACACAAAATCCAATTCATTATTCTCTTTCTTATTTAATGCTAAGTAAGTCACTGAACTTTACTACTTGATCTATCCATTTTCTTTAGTAGTAGGGCTGCAGGAAATCTTTCTCTTCTCAAAGGCGGTTTCAAGTTTCTCACTGATATCATGTAAAAAATACTTGGAGTATAAGAGTAAAAAATAACCACATTTCAAAGGGAGCCCAAGCCATGCAGATAATGATAATTTTTCTCTTCTGAAGTGCAGAACCGAAGAGTGGAGGTCCCTGGGAACTCAGAGCACCATTGTTCTTCTTCCAGGCCGTTATCTGGAGACAGGTCCTCCGATAGACTCCGATGAGGCCACTGAAGGGATTATCTGCTCAGAGTGCTAATGGCATACATTTGACAACATCAACCATTTAATTTATGAGGTGCCTTGTAACGTAAAGGCAAAGATACCCATACAAAGCCCAAGCACATCCGGTGTAATTAAAAAGTGTCCGATCAAAGCCCAGCCTGCTCTACAGCACCAGTTTCTTAATTATGGCTACATAAAAATGTGCCACCTTCCTAAAAGGCACCTTAGCAGACTTTGGACAGTGATGGCAGTGTTATATAATGAGAAATATATTAATGGAAACGATCCAGCACTGAAATCATTCCAGACTTTTTATCATCACATTCCTTGTTCCTGCATGAGTGAAGTGCACAGGAATAAAAGCAGTTAAACATCATCCACCAGAAGACCCACACGATGGGGATTACTTAAAAGGTACTAATAGCTCACTGGTGCCTGTCAGTGTTGGGATCCACACAAAGACATCGGGCAAACAGAGCTGCTCTTCCTGGGGAATTATTTTTCCACTGACCATGGCTCGTTGCCATGTCACCCTCCTGCAGCTGGGGACAGCTTAGTGCTCTCACCCAGTACCCGAGTTGCTCTTTCAGCTCCCCTGGTTCCAATCTCTGCCAAAAGTTGAGGAGTCCATCCCATGCTCTTCACTCTGGTCTAGCTACGCAGCAGATAATCAGACTTATACCATGTTTTTCTTCTATCGCACAAATATTTGTACAAAACTAAATTTATTTTCACTTTTCACATGCAATGAGAAGCTTAATGGCTTAGCCACTAAGCTTCTGAATATAATATTCAGAGCGGTCCCTGAAGGGAGTGAACATTTGGGTGGTGAGTCCTGCTTTTCCAATGCAGCTCAAGCAAAACAACAGGTCAGAGGGTGCTGGTCTGGGTGTCAGCTTCTGCAGCATCACCACCAGCCATGAGGTTTGTGATCACAGCGATGGATCCAAATCAGGGCCACTACCAAACCAGACGACCTCAGCCCCATCACCCTGCATGTTCCCATGCCCCTCGTGCCATTACAGGTGTTTGTGCAACCTGTGTGGATCAGCTGAAACAAACCTTTTCAGAAAGGGCTGGTTTTCAGCCAGAGGAGCCCATTGCCCACATGGTTACACAGGCAGCAGAGCCAGTCCGGGCAGTGGGACGTGCAATGGGGGGTTGAAGGCTGGGGAGGGTGCAGGCACCAGCCCTGGGTTGGATGGGCTGATGCCAAAAACCACAGACATGCATTCACCCTGTTGCCAGCTAGCTGGTAACCACCTGGCAGCAAAACAGGAACAAAACCTCTCCCATGGATGCTCTCAAGGTGATTTAGAGCACTGTTACAATACCTGTTGTTACTGGCAATGACTGCAGCAGCATCTGCCTTGCACCGAGTATTATATAAAAGCTTCAAAAAGCTCAAGTATTTGACACAAGCTGATTCGCGAGCAGATCAGATGCTCCTGTGTCAGACCTGGGATTTCAGGTGCAGCCTGGGCACACTGGTGTTGTGGCCGTCCTAGGCTGGTGATGGGAGCCTGCCAGGGTACCAGAGATGCTTCACTCGGGGGGGCAGGGTGAGCAACAGGTTGCCTCCTCACCCCTCCTGCCTCCCCCTTGCCTCTGCCGCCGTACTGCAGTGAGGGTAGCTGCCTGCCAGGGAAAACATCCCGCACCGCACGTCGTGTCGTAAGCGAGCTAATTGAGAGCTTATTTGACGGGTCCCAAGCGAGTATTTAGGGGAAGAACAGACAAACAAAACATCCCTCGCTGAAGGCCGGCTCTGCAAGTGGGCGAGCTGCTAAACAATGGGAGCTTTGTGGGACGTCTCCCAATTTACCTGCTCCAGTCCAAGAGGAAGTGCTCCTCCCTCCGCAGCACAATGGTGGGTCGGCAAGCCCCGAGGGGGGACACAGGCTGGCACACACCTTTGTGTTGCAGGATACCTCCTCGGTCCCCTCCAATGCTTGGGTAGGTGAGGGGGGGCAAGTTGTACACCCAAATGGGAGCAGAGGGAGGGTGGCTAGGGGCAGCGTGTGCTGTCCCTGGGGGGTGGCAGCACTTTGTCCACCACTGTGGCTTGCACAGGGTGCCAGCAGCATCTGTAACTCTCACTGGACCAGTCAACGAGGGGCTCTTCATCTGTACGTGGGAACTTTAATCCAGAGTGTTGTTCTCCCTTCCCTGCTAGGAAATCCTGCCAGGGGCTTGTCTCAATTCCTTCTTCTTAACATGCACTCTCTAAACTTGGGTCACAAAGCACTGTTTAAATTTTATTGCATGGCAAATCTTTTGTCTTGAACTGTCGTCCCTGCATTTTTTCCTTACAGTGGCAGGGTATTCTGCAGTCCCGTTTTGAGGGAGGGCAGCTGACAGCCTCTCATGGGGCTGCAGCACTCACCTGGCCCTGCAAAATGACTTGTTGGTAGCTGAAATATTTATGCACCTAGCAGCTGCTGAGATTTTTGAGCTTTTTAGTGGCTCTGATTGCCTCTTTTGTGTATACATTTAAATCTGCCTTTCAAAGCGCTGCGCCAATGACCTTAAAAACAATTACCAAAAAAATTTTGGTAGGAAAAATTCTAAATATCATGGCTTTGAGAGAGACACTGGGTCAGGCATGGAAAGGTACATCACTGCCTAGAGACACACAACATCAGCTAATGGCTGGAGCACCAAACTAGTAGAATATCCATTTAATCTCATTAAGGACAACGGAATTTGATGCATTACACAGGATCAGAAGGGAAAGGCACACCTCCAGCTTCTGTTTTCTTCTTCAGGTTGTGGACCTGGAGGTCAGGGCTTATTTCCTATTTTTCTGTGACTTTTGCACTTTGGTGCAGCTGGTATTAGTAACTCTGAGCATCAGACATGGGAGGAATGGGTACAACCAAACCCAGACACTGCCTGGCATCTGGTACTGTTCAGATCTGGATGCAGACTGCTGCCAGGGCACAGCCGAAAAACTTGTGCTGCTGGGTGCTAAGGCCGAGCAAGCAAACACTGCCACGAAAAACACGGGAGCCGAGCGGGTGGGCAGGCAAAATGGCGAAGCAAATGTGTGTACCACGCTGCCAGTTGTCTTGAACCAGGAAGCCGATCGCCAGTTTACATAACAAACCCAAACACGCTTCCATTTCCAGCACGGCGGGCCCGATTCTGTCACTGGTGTTTGCGGGAGGGAGCAATGACTCAGGGGAGCGGCGCGAACGGCAGCTTGCACCAGCACGCCCGAGGCAGCGCGGGCGCACCCTGCACCCTGCAGCACCCACCATGCCAGAGGATGACGGCTCCAGGCTGGGTGAAGACTCCAGGGTCTGTGAAACTTGGTGTAAGCTGGAGCCCCTCGGAGAGGAGGGGAAGATGCAAGGCAGGAGGCATGTGTCCTGGGAGCCGTGGATGGCCAGGGAGCTGCGCAGCATCACTTCTGCTGAGAAGCTGCTCAGGTTTGCTTTAGTCTGCTGCTCTTATCCAGAAAAAGTAAGAAAAACTTTTAAGGATGTTTGAGGCATGTTTCAGCTGCCAGTCCCTCGGTGGCATGGTCCTGTATGGAAAGTAACTTACCTCTCACACTTCTTAACCTGCTTTTCTATAACGCATCTGCTTGGTACGTCCCTATGCAAACCAGTCAGACTTTACCAGCAAAAGATAACACCTGTAGTATGGTAAAAGATGTCCCAGTTTTTGCTGTTTGCGGTAACAACCCTGGGTTTGCTCGCCAGCATCATCTTTTTTATCCTTTTCCCATCTCTGTCACTTTTTTGAGCACAGTTTGACAGCCTGAAGTTATTGAATTGCACGAATAAATCACCTGCTGTTACCACGGCTGTTCCTTGCAGATGGACAGGCATACAAACGTCTCAAATAAAAAGCATATTGATTTCTTCTGCAAGATGATTATCACAAATATTGTTGATCTTACATTATATCTGATTGTTTATATAAAGAGAAAGACTCCTTACTTCCTCCTGGGGTGTTTTGGAATTTGGCAGGCTCTGAAAGCAAGTCAGTGGTGCATAGGGTAATGCTCCTCGCAGGGAGTGTGCTTAGTGCTATTGCAGGAGATCACATTAGTGCTTTTGACACGATCAAACAGAAAGTTCCAGCTGAACAATGACTTTTTAGGATGAAAAGTGAAATGTTAAGAAGGTGTGTACGTCTCCATGAATTTGCTTCATTTCACTCCCTGATGTGGCGGTAACAGAACTATTTTTAGGTATAATCCTTCAAACAGAACACGACTTCTCCTTTCTGATTAGTACAAAGCTGGCTGCTAGTCAAAGGATAATTATTTCCCAACACATCACCTAACACACAGCAGCAAACAAAACACTCATTATTTGAGCTATCCAGTGTTAACTGTTGTTTAGCAGTTAACATTTTCTTGACAGCTTTGAATAGGACTAATTGCTCCAGCTTCATTAGCAGAGGTCATTTACTGCTGGTAACAATACTTTTCTGGAGATAGTCTCTCGTGTAAGATTAGATTATCAGGTCAAATTCTGCTCCCAGTGGCAATGATGTCTGACCGCATTTGGCCTCAAGAAAGTCTGCTCTTTCAGTTCATAGCTGCACAATTTCCAGCCCTGCAGCTGATATATTACATAAAGGAAGTAAGTGCACTCCACCGGATGGGAAATCACAATAAATTAGGAAAGTGTGCAGCACAAGGAAGGTTTGCAAATTAGCCACTTAAAAGCTATTAATAAAACCTCAACTTCAGATAGCGTTTAGGAAAAAAAAAAATAAATCTGATAAAGAAGTTGTCCTTATACTTGAAAACACGTGCATACCTGAAAGGGAAAGCAGCGTTTGCAGAAGAACCGGTGCGTGCTGTATGACAAACACCCGGCTGATGCTGTCAAGTGCTGCGTGTGCCATCGGCACAGTGCAGATCACAATTTTAAGCCACATTTTTTGCACATAGTTTAATGTGTTCATCAGTTACTGCTTGGAGCTACAGTCAGTTGACGCCGAGGGTTGCGGTCTCAAGGCGCAGTGAATTTGCAGGAGTGCTTTTGTGCAGCTCTCACCGGTGGGGAGGTTCCTGCAGGCACTTCGACAGCCTGCCGTGTGGCTGAAACATCCTTAACTTTCCTGAACACACAGAAAACTGAAGCCAGGCTTTCCACCCGATATATTCCCATTTAAGCACGTGGAGAGATGCAGCCTTCCTTTCAGAAGTTCTGAGCAAACACTGCTCAGAGTGCAGCCGGCGCCTTTGAGAATCAGGCGTCTTGCACGTGGAACTCTCAGGCACCCTCACCGAATAATGTTGGTCTTGGCAGGCACAGGACGTCTTCTCCAAGTGGATTTCTGTTTTACCTGTGTCTCCCTTTCCTGCAGGCCTGTGGCTCTTTGCTGTTACTTCCCTGCCCACGTACGTGTGCAGCCGCATGCCTACCACCTATACTTTCTGACTTGCAGCTCCAATTGCTAATCCACGTCTGGTTTTTGTCAGAAAAAAATATTCATCCTGAGCGTTTGACTCATTGCCTCCGGAGTATTTCAGCTGCCCCGTAACACTTTTCAGAGTATCCTTCTCAGCGGAGAACAGCCTGTTCTGAGCATGATCCATGGCAGACTGCTCGCCAGCAGCCTCCCCTTCCTCGCACACATGCATGCCATATGTCCTGCTCTGTCCGCACCATTACTGTGCCACCGTCTTTTTTATACCATGCAAGACGGACCGGCATCCGTCATCCACGCTGCCAGGTGGATTATTTTAGCTGTCTCTGAAGGGACTCAACGTGCCAGCCTCCAGATTCTTCCAGCAGGTCCAAATCCTGACCCCTTCACTCACACAGCTGGCCATACTGAGGTCAACAGGCAAAACTCAGCCCGCCTTTCACCTTCCCAATGCCATTGCACTCGTTTAGGGGAAGCATGACCCAGCATAGCTATTCAGCAGGAGAAGCCAAGCAAGTTCTGGCCATAAATTTCCCACCTAAGTGGGAACCCAGGGTCCCAGGGTCCATCCTGCCGAGCCAAAACTTTCATCACTTTTTAAAGTCTAAGGACATGAGCATTCAGATGGTTAAAATTAAGTAGGTGAACTGATCTATGAGACGACAAGCCAAGTCAATTAGACTGTCCCACCCCACGCAGCAGGCACTGTGCTTCCCCAGGATCCAGCACCCTGCTGAGGACGAGGGTTCGACAGCCACTTTAGCTCCCAGGCGGGTGCTGGGGCTGGATCCTGCCCTGCTCTACCCTAGCAGGCTGGGGTCTGGTCCTGCCCTGGCTCGCTGCGATCCCCAACACGCAGGAGGAGGGCAGCGCTACCTCCCCATCCTGTCCCGACCCCGACATGCGCAGCCAGCATCTTATCACAGTCACTGGCATCAGTCATTGCCATCCTGTGAGCCCTTTTGGTCCTGTTGTCTTTGCTAGAATCACAGACAAAACAAGATTTAAAAGAAAAAAAAAAATAAGCATTTGGTGGAAGAACCTACTCCACTTAGTACCTGATCTGACATCACTCCAGCATTTTACAGAACCCATTTCACTATTATCAAGGGAGACACCATTAACTGCAGCTCACATCAAACCCTCATAACATCAATGGAAAAGTATTATTTACTTCCCTGGTTGCTTTATTTTGTCCTTGCCTAAAAGTGTAACATTTTTTTTTTTCCTGAAAATACATCATTAGAAATTGCAAAGGACAAATTTCTTGATTTTTAAAACAAAAAAGTAAATGAACAAATGGTTTCCAAAACCAAACCATTGGCCACCACCCTAAAGAACTTGATTTGGGTTGTCCTCTTCCTGGGATCTGATTTCTGATTTAACTATACTTATGAGTTTAGTAAACCTAAAAATGGCTTCACTTTATTCTGCACTGCCTTTCTGTTGCTCTGTCTGCTATGTATTCATTGCAGTAATGAAAAACTTTATGAAACCACAAGGATACAGTGTACCTTCATAAAGCAATAAAGGAAGACAATCTTTTGGACCAGGGATGCAAATCTGCAGCCCTTCTGTTCACAGTACCTCCTTACTTGGATCAGTCCACAGTGTAACATTCAGTTATCATAATCTGGCCCCCAAGGAATATGTGACTGTTGGCAACACACTGAAGCCACACTACACATAACTATTAGCTTTATGATCTACAAACTAGGTAGTTTTATTTCACCCAGTGACACAGAAGAGGGTTCAGCAGTGTTTAAGTCTGTCCCAGAATCCGATCCTGCTCCAGTTATGCCCCAGCCATTCCCTCAGAGAGAGGTTACTTCCTTTTTTACAGTAAGAGGGAACCAAAGTCTGGACTCCTGCGACCCCGGCTGCCATCTCCCCTTACAGGGCAGGAGCCTCCTCAAGCTGCTTTTTGGGCAGGGGGCTCCTCCGACCTCCACGCCCAGCGCTGGGACCCGGTCCCACCGAGCGCGCACCCCCACCTCGCTCAGGCAGGATCAGGCCCACTGTCAGCATGAGGTGGACTTACTTGGGGGGTGGCGTGTACCGCACATGGAGATTTCTTTCTACTCGAGACCATTTTTAGCTTTCAAATTAACTATCCTCTGTAATCTTAAATATTCTGGTCCCTTGACTCCCAGCTATGTACTCCTAACAAAAAAAAAAAAAAAAAAAAAAAATATTCCAGAGAGGAATAGTGACAGAAGATGAGTGTATTCATTATCAGAGTGGAAACACCTTGTCATTAGCTATTAATTTTAAGGGAAGTCAGCAGACCTCGATGCAACAGGAACACAACCTTATTGGGTTTCAAACACTTTTTTTTACAATACTGTGTCAGGAAAAGCCATTAAGTAGAGTTGTATTGGTAATCTGAGCCATCTTTGGAGAAAAACAAATGCTGTTCTTCCCATTATAGGTAAGTATTGTTTCAAAACCTAGAGACACGCTTGCTTGTGCTCCAATGGTATTTATTGCACATAGACCAATTACTTACACAGTAGTAAATTGCACCAGAGTATAAATACGTTATAAAACACACACAGAGAGGAAAATGGAAATGACAAACAAGTGCTAAAATAACAGCAGATTCATGTGGGCATTTGGAAATAAAAATAAAAATTATAAAGTCTCTTAAGATATTTTAATTTATAATATGGATATATTTACAGTACCTTCATAAAATAATATTTAAAAAGTCACTCTCTCCATAAAACTATAACAGATCAGACAAAACCACAAATCAGGTTCAGGGTCAGTGTTATTCAAACCTCCATTTCATTTCTAATTTGCGTGTGTGTACATGTGTGCAAGTAACATCTTCAAATAACTTTACAACTCCTAACACTGTGCAAAAAAATGGCTTTGTTGCCATTTTTTAAAAAATGTGCAGTAAATTTTTGTTGTTGCCAGGATTTTTTTTTCCCCCTGTTCACCTGTAATTACAATGAACAAGCCTGCAGAAGGCTCCTCGCCCCCCCCCCCTCCACCCCCCCGTCCATAAAATACTATTAGTGGTATGTAAATATGCTGTTTAATATAAACATGGTCCGTTTATTCCCCTGTACAATATGCACAGTTTGAGGTAGAAGTTTCTCAGCCTGACTGCTATTGTCCGGCCGAAGGAGATAAGCACAATAACTCACTGCTTGACGACGCAGAGGGAAAAAGCAGAAGAGTGTGGGTTGGGTTTTTTTACCCCCCTTTCATAATCTACCTGTGCTCCTCGTTACTCATTCTTTTTCTCCATCACTACTCTGCGGAAGAGGGGAGCACAGCTACTCCGAGCTTAAAACTCATCTCTCCCGCGGGGCCGTACTCTCCGCCCGGAGCACCTGCAGCGCCGACGGACCCTGCGCTTCCCCGAAACTGCCCGGTGCTGCGGGTGAGGGACTGAAACCGGGGGTGTCCGACAGCCCCGGGCGAGGTGGGGGACGGCCGGGCCCCGGGCTGCGGCCGATCTCCAGTGCCTCCACGCTCAGGCTCAACCACCGGCACGGTCCTGGGGCAACTCACCCGAGCGAAGGGCGCCGCTGCCACAGCCCCTTCCGAAAGCTGCTTCTCCTAAATATAAGCCAGCTATCTGTGGGACAGGCTGTTTATTTTATTTGTTCCCCGGTCAGTGGGTTTCCTGCTTGCTGTAGTTTCGGATGAGGTATGTCGTGCGTGAGTTCACCTGCTTTTATTCCTAAGTAAACACCCGCTCTCTCCCCACCGAGACAGGGATCAGTTCTGCTTGGCACTAGCCTTACCACCAGCAGTTGCTAGGGATTTCTCTGCTCCCGGGTGTCTCCCTGCCTGCCTTTCCCCCTACCCAGGTCAGACGTGGCCCCCCATGCCTGCCCCCCCCTATACCTTGGACTCCGAATCGGACGTTTTGCTATTTCTCTCCTCCAGGCTGGACTCGCTGCCGCCCTGTGTGCCCCCGTTGCAGTCAGACCAGGTCCCTCCCAGGCTGCGCTCGGGGGAGCCCACGGTGCTGATGAAGCCCCCGGGCAGCGGGGCCAGCTCCCCACCGCTGGCGTGGAGCCGCCGGTCGGCTTTCCTGGGGCAGCAGAGCAGCCTCTTGAAGGCCTTACGAAAGTCAGGGCTGCGGCAGTAGATGATGGGGTTGAACGCCGAGTTGGCGTAGCCCAGCCAGTTGAAGAAAACAAAGAGCCAGTCCGGCACCAGGTCCCTGTTGAAGACGTTGACGATGTTCACCAGGAAGAAAGGGAGCCAGCAGAGGGTGAACACCCCCATGATGATGCCCAAAGTCTTGAGGGCCTTCTGCTCCTTCATGGCCATGATGCGGGAGGTCTTCCGCTTGCTGGCTCGGCCATTGCCGAGGATGGGCTGGTGGTGAGGGGGCGGGGGCGGCTGTGGCTGCTCGTGGCTGCTGTAGAATCGGCCCTCGCACCTATCAATCTTCCTGATCTGCTCCTTGGCCTCTCTGTACACCCGGAGGTACACAAAGATCATGATGAGGAGGGGGATGTAGAAAGAAATGATGGACGAGGCGATGGCGTAAGCCCTGTTGGTGACAAAGTCGCAGCAGCCCGGGTCCTGGTAGCACTCCAAAGCCTGGGGGTCCTCATCCCGCCACCAATGCATCATGATGGGCAAGAAGGAGACCAGGGCAGAGATGGCCCAGACGGTGCAGATGATGCCCTTGGCCCGAGCCTTGGTCATGAGGCTCTGGTAGCGGAAAGGCGAGGTGATGGCCAGGTAGCGGTCGATGGCGATGACGCACAAGGTCTCGATGCTGGCCGTCACGCAGAGCACGTCCAGGGAAGTCCAGCACTCGCAGAGGAAGGATCCCCAGAGCCAGGTCCCCCGCACCACCAGCGTGGCCCCGAAGGGCACCACCAGCAGCCCCATCACCAGGTCCGCGCAGGCCAGCGAGGTGATGAAGAGGTTGGTGAGGGTCTGCAGCCGCTGCGTGCGCCCGATGGCCGCGATCACCAGCACGTTCCCGGCCACGATGAGCAGCACCACCAGGGCCATCAGCAGGCTCATGCCCACCGCCCACTGCTGCGACAGCAGCTCGGCGGGCAGCTGCCTGCTCCCGGGCGGCGGCGCCGCCGTCCCCCCGCCGCCGGCGACGGAGCGGTTCTGGGGGCCGCAGTCGGGCGGCAGCCACCCATCGCCCATGGCTGTGCGGGGCGGCGGGCAGGAAGGGCGGCCCCGGCCCCGGCCCCGGCCCCGGCCCCGGCCCCGGCCCCGGCCCCGGCCCCGGCCCCGGCCCCGGCCCCGGCCCCGCCGCCGCTGCCGCCGCCGCCGCCCCGGGCTGCCGCATGGCCCCGCGCCGCCGGCCCGCCCCGCCCCGCACCGCCGGCGTCACCGCCCGCCGCCCAATCGCCGTGGCGGGGGCGGAGCAGGGCCGCCCCTCCCTGAGCGCGCGCTGCCCGCCGCCGCGGCCCCTCCGCTGCCCGCGCCCTGCCTGCTGCCCGCACAAGCACACGCACACGCGCACGCACAGGCAGACACGCACGCAGACACACACCCCACCTTCCCCCCCACACAAACCCCGACACACCTCCCCACACACACCCGCCCACCCACACGCACACCTCCACGCACCCGCACCCCCACCTCCCCACACACACCCACACAAACACACCCCCACCCACACAAACACACCGTCTCACACACACCCCCCTCCACACCCCCCCACACATCCACACCCCCCCCCCTCCACCCTCGTACACCCACACCCCCTCCCCGCTCACCCACCCACCCGCAGGTCCGTGGGCAGCAGCCGCGGGGCAGGCGGGGGGGTGTGGGCAGGGTGGGCTCCTCCCGCAGGGCCGCGGGGGCGGCCGATGCTTGCGGCCCCCTCCGGTGCTCGGTGGGAGCGGGCTGGGAGCAGCGGGAGCGCGCTCCAGAGCGGGGCTTGGGAAAAGGGAGGCTTGTGCCCCGAATAGTCACCGCCACCCTGGGTCAAAGCCAGGCTTTGCCACCTCCCCTGCAGCCCCGAGGGAGGTGAGCTCTGAATCCCCCGCATCTGAACGGTGGCAATACCGTCCCACGCCAGGGACACCCCGCAGGCCTCCACTGCCCGCTGCTGCTGGAGCAGGCGCTCCCCCTCTTTACACCTTTGGTAAAATACCAACTACCAGCGCTGTCAGCAGCGACGCTCCACCGAAAAGCGATGGACACCCTCCCACGGGAAGTCCCCACCAGGGACAAGCCCCACGCTCGCAACCTCCCATCACCAGTGCCTCCTGCCCCAGCCCCGCTGGCCGGGACCCCAGTCTCAAACCTTCTGGCTCAAGGGATGACGCTACCAGCCCTACGCAGGGACCGTGGCCGTGGCTTGTCCCGTGCATCTCCCCACCGTGAGCCCTCTGCTCCAGCTTCCTCGGCCCTGCCCGACCAAGCCACTGCGGGGCTGGGAGGTGGAGGTCCCAGCTCCCGTTTCTGGCTTTCCTCTGTTGCATTAGACAGGTCCCTCTGGACATTTTCAAATACAGCCAGTAGCTTTTACCCAGTCTGGTCAAACCACACTAAATTTAGGGACTGATCTAAGTATTAGTACTGCTATTTGTTAATGAGCAATAAAGTACATGAAGCATCCCAGGTCTGCAATGCCCAGATAATGTACTCCGAGCAAATCTCTGCCCAGCTCCCATCCAATTCCATGAAACTTACTGAGAAGAACTAGTTGGGCTGGATTTTCATTTACTTGCTCAGCCCTCTCTTCAGATCCGAAGCTGGAAGATTACTCTTGGGTGCATTTAACTGTGGTTTACTCCTCTTTAAAACCTCTTAAAATAATGTGAAACAGCTGCTGGGTAAATGAAAGTAAGGTCTCCTTTTTTTTTAATCAGCACATCTTACAGCAGCATCAAACGTTCCCCACAGCAGTCTGGGAGCAACTGGAAGGAACAGTTATTATTTTTTTTCCCCCTATATATATATTTATTCTGCTAAAACTGTTCTGCTGTTCCAACTGGACCGTAAAAATCCCTTCTAGGCTTAGACTTGATTTACAAGGTCACAACCTGGGAGAAAATTATTTATTTATTTACATGTTGTTTATTTAACCCTGACTAAAGGCCACACACCAGCGCGGACCTGCTGCTTGGCAAACCATTCCCTTGTGTTCCCATGGACTTTGCTTTGCTGCTTGTGATCTGCTGGACCAAAGTGTGACCCCGTTTGGTGGGAAGGGCAGGAGGCATGGCATCTTCAAGAACAGGGGGAGACCTTATGATAAATAAAAAGCAGAAGGATTGTGGTTGGGAATATTTGTCCAGGATTGGTACCTGATTTAAAAAAAAAAAAAAATCTGAAACCAAGTTAGGACAGTGGAGCTGTGTGATAGAAGCAATTTTTTATTTTCTACATCTATCTAGAACACTTAAAGTATGTACGAGCCCTTCAGTGCATCACCACACCAAAGCTTTCACAGCTGAGACGCTTGGATGAATTTTGTGAATGTGCACAGTCCATTTTAGCACAAAATCAGCCAGATAAAAATCTGATAACGTCTTAGATACTTTTTTCAAGATGACACTGACAGTGGGAAGCAGTGTTAGGGATACCATGTAGCTGTTTTGTTTGCTATTCCTGGAGGACCATCCATCTGTTATCTGTTCAGAACCATTATTGCTATAGTATCTTTATACAGTTAATAAATACTGTGAAGTAATCAAATGACAGCTCTTTTCCTATCAAGATGTCCTATCAGATCTCTGGATGGAGATCCTCATCCCACCATAAGAGAAGATAAACTTGAAGTTTGGAGAAGGAAATTACTAGCAAGTATGTGATAAACCAGAAGATGTATAATCATGTACTGCTTCCCAGTATCTTTGTTGGTTCAATAAGCGTCAATCTGGAATGCCAGATCAGAGCCGGAGCCAGAATGTCTTTGGCAAACAATGCATCTCCAAAGGAAAAAAGTAAGCAAATTTAAGATTTCTGTACAGAACATCCTTCTGGCCCTTGCAGCACAGAACAGCCAAACAGTCACTGCAGGCTTAAACCCTTTCGGAGTCTCACCTTTTGCAAATCTCCTTTAACTCAAAATTTCCTTGGCTTCTGCATTTCAGACAGCACCTTAACATGATTTTAATATAGTTCTTTGATTATATATTATTTAAGGTTGTCAGATCAAGAGAAGAGCTTCCAGAACTGAAATGTTTTGTTTCTACTTGCTCTCCAGATCACAATTTTTAATGAGCAACAAATTTTGTTCTTCCTTTGCAAAATCATTAAAATAATTAAAAAAAAAAAAAGCCCAAGCTCTCAGTAGTTATTAAGACAGATCCATCTTATATTGCATAGAGAATAGTGGATAGAACTGATGAAAATCAAAATGTATTGGATTTGAGGAACCCTTTTGGCATGAGCTGTGAAGTTTCAACATTTCAGGAACTGAAGTGGGTTATCTAGGTATATTTTTAAACCCAGTCCTTTGAGATGCTTTGCACAGCTTCCTGCTTGTCTTCTTGCCTCTCTCTCCATGCAAAACAGATTGCAAGATGCGGGTCCTATTGCACGAGTATGCATCTATATGCAGAGATCTGCGCTGGGGAATGTCAGCAGCACCGGCAGTGGGGCAGGAGACTGGGAATGGGGCTGGCCACTGGGGCTAACCCCTTCCGTCGTTGTTGCAGTGGCTAAGGCAGCGCTGGGGGCAGTGGATTTGCTGTTGCCAGCTCTGTGTCCTGGGGACAGGCAGGTGACTTACTGCTGGAGATCATCCCTGGATCTCCAGGGATGCTCTGGGCTCTGTGTACGGCATCTTGGCACTCTTACATGGCCCGTGAGGTTGGATGGAGAGGGAGGATGTCGGCGGGGAGGGGCTGAACATTTAAAGAAGGATGGTGGGGTTAGCAGATGAGGAGAGTGGAGAGGCAATTTTAGCTTGTTGAAGTCATAATCTCTAAATGTAGTTGGAGGAAGAAAAAATTATCAGGGAGGGAGAGGATTAATTTAGATGAATACAAGGAGATTTAATGAGTGGTAATGTGCTGAAAGGGAAAATTTGATATGAATATCTGAAAGAGCTTTTAGGGCATCAAACCCATTAAATTGCCAGGCGTAGCAGTGGATGTCTCATCACTCGGGCCTTTATAGTTAGGTTTGACAAAACTCTAATTCTCAGTTTTGGATTAGAACATATTATATCTAAGATCTGGACATTTCCAGCTCTTAGTTTTAGCTTTAACATGGTTTCTTACCATATCTCAGCAATTTGTGTCTTGACAGGTAGCCTTCAGTTTTCCTCATGCAAAGAAAAATAGATTTGGTCATCTTTGCTATTGGGTAACCAGCTGCATTTAAGGAATATTTACTGAAGAAATGGAGTGAAGGAACAGTTTATCTGTGGCTGTGAGGCAGGCGTGGACAGAGCAGAAATCTCCTGTGGGCCAGCGGCAGGGGTGAGCAGTTGCCTGTCAGACGCAAGGGGTGACTGTGCTGATGCTTATGACCCAGAAGGATCTTGTCTTCCTTGTCCAGCCTCGGTCCAGTCATGCCCTCACTGAAATCAAATTCAGGCACCACCATTATCAACATAATGTCCTCTTAAAATATTAACTGTTTGTTCTCTTAAGACATTAGTGAAAGCCCACTGAAATGCCTGGAAGGCCTCCCATTGACTTCAGTGAGCTTCATGTTATTGTCATTCTTTCTCTGGAGAAAAAGAGCTATGTAAAAGCAAATTTAAAATCCATTTGATCTCTTTAACTTTCTGCTGGCCTCCTAAATTTCTTTGTAAACTTAGCATACATCTGAGAAACCATTTCATTTTGTATTCATTACCCGGATAGTTTGGCTAAAACCTGAACTGAAGGAAAGCAGATGAGAAACAACTCTTCAAGTCTTCATGTGAAGTGATCAGGCTTCACCCTCTTCATGTTGTCCCAGTAAGAAACTGTCACTTGGCTCTATTCATGTCGGACATTTGTTATTAGAGAAATAGAGACATGATGGAACATTGCCACAAGATCCCTGTCTCTTGTTTTTAAAATAAACATCTTGGCTTTGACTTGATGTTTATTTTCCATAAATGCCTCAGCTTCAATTTGGCATTTCAGCAACAGCGGGAGGCTGTTATCCTGTGACAACATGCAATTCCATTGACATTATCTCTTGATTACATGTGACAGTGTGCCAAATTCTGTATGTAGTTGTTTTTAGTTAAACAATACCATGAAAATATAAAACAAATGCAAGAA